AAATTTAGTATTTTGTATTGTTATCTGTTTTAACTGGCTGTAAGCCGCCCTGAGTCCGCTAGGAGAAGGGCGGGGTACAAATTTGATAAATAAATAAATAAATAAAATAAACCCTAAAACACCCTAACCCCACAACCCGGGATCCGAACCCACAGACTCCTGCATGTTAAGCAGTTGTCTTACCCTCCACTGGGTCCCCCAGTTATTATGTGCTATTCCTAGGTATATATCTCATTTTCCAATTTCCCAACAAGGAAAACAAAGAATCAAAGGGATTTGAATCTGGGACTCCTGCATGTTAGGCAGCTGTCTTAACCTCTTTGCCACCGGGTCCCTGTTGTTCTGTGTACTATTTTTGGATATATATCTCATTTTTCAATTTCCCAACAAATAAAACAAAGAATTGAAGGGATTTGAACCTGGGACTCCTGCATGTTAGGCAGTTATCTTAACCTCTGTGCCACAGTCCCTATATGTGTATATACTATTTTTGCGTATATATATCTCATTCCCCAATTTCCCAACAAAAAAAACAAAGAATTGAAGGGATTTGAATCTGGGATTCCTGCATGTTAGGCAGTTATCTTAACCTCTGTGCCACAGAGTCCCTATATGTGTATATACTATTTTTGCGTATATATATCTCATTCCCTAATTTCCCAACAAAAAAAACAAAGAATTGAAGGGATTTGAATCTGGGATTCCTGCATGTTAGGCAGTTATCTTAACCTCTATGCCACAGGGTGCCTGCACTTGTCTATACTATTTTTGGGTATATATATCTCATTCCCCAATTTCCCCCCAAAAAACAACAAAGAATTAAAGGGACTCGAACCCCAACTCGCGGCATTTTAGACGGTTTCCTTACCCCCACGCCGTTGCGTCCCTGTGCTTAGTTGCAAATCTGGAAGCCTTCTGTACTGTATTTCTCTTGACGTCCGCGCTTCCTGCTTTTTCCACGAAGCGGCGCTGTTTTCCACATATACCTGAGACCGTCGGAAACGCCTTCTGTTTTAAGTCTACGTCCTGTTGATCGGACGTAAAGTCCGACGTACCCAGATCTCCGCAAAAGGAAATTGAAGAAGAACGGACCGGAAGTAGGCCGTGATGGGAAGGTCGCATTTTAAAGGCCCTGGCGGACGGCTTATTTGAGCGGACAGGAAGTCCGCCGTGCTGAGAAGGTCTCCGCTAAAAGAAGTTGGGGGAAATATTAAGAACGAAGGACAGGAAGTCCGCCGTGTCGAAAATTCCTCTGGGAGATTACTTACGAGAAACGAACGGCGGCCGTGCGCAGAAGGCCGAGGAAAACGGCCCGTCCCTTTCGGAGGAGCATAGAGTGGCCACGCTTTGGCTGACGCTCTGCGTTTTAGGGCTTTGCTTCTCGATGTCCCGTTCCTGGGCAAAAGGCCTACGACCGCCTCGGTGGTAAGGCTATGGAACGGAAAACAGTGCCCCCCTGTGGTCAAAAACGGGTATTGCGGTCGCCGAAACAAATAAACCTTTTAAATGGGATTTTAAGGCTATTTATTTTCTCCCCCGTCTTTATCATTAACCCCTTATTAATATTAATAGGGCGACGGGAAGCCCTTTGGCCATTTTAAAGGTTTATTTCTTTTGGGGGCTGCTATACCCGGCTTGGGCCACGGGAGGGCAGCACGGTTTTCTCTCCCTTAGCGAGAGCGGCATTGAGGCCGTCGAAAAGGCCTACCGTGACCTCGATGGTAATGCTGTGGGACGGATATTGCGGCCTCCAAGGGAAATAAGCCTTTTGAATGGGGTTTTAAGTTTACAGCTTACCTCATTGGTCGGACGTGGAGTCCGCCGTGCCCAGAAGGTCTCCGCAAAAGGAAGTTGCAGGATGACTAAAAAGAACGGACCGGAAGTCGGCCATGATGGAAAGGTCGCTTTTCAAAGGCCCGGGCGGACGGCGAATTGAAGCGGACAGGAAGTCCGCCATGCTGAGAAGGTCTTCTGTGAAAGGAAGTTGGGGGAACGATTAATGACGAAGGACCGGAAGTCGGCCATGTTGGAAAGGTCCTTTTGCCACAGGACCTGGGGGACGGCCGAAATCGAGGGACAGGAAGTCCGCCTTGCCTAGAAGGCCTCTCGGAGATTACTCCTGAAGAACCAGCCGGCGGACATGCGCTGGAGGCCCAGGGAAGCGGCCCGTCCCTTTCGGAGGAGCATAGAGTGGCGACGCTTTGGCTGACGCTCTGCGCTTTGGGGCTTAGCTTCTCGGTGTCCCGATCCTGGGCAAAAGGCCTACGACCGCCTCAATGTTAAAGCTAGGGGACGGGAACCCCTGCCCCCTGTGGTCAAAAACGGGTATTGCTGCCGCCGAAAGAAAGAAATACTTTTTAATGGCATTTTAAGGTTATTCTTCTCTATTTTTATTCTTAACGCCTTATTATTAATATTAACGTGGCGACGGGAGGCCCGGTCGGTGCGACGCGGGCGCAGAAGAAATCCTGGTTCGAGTCTTAAACCGAGTTAAGGCTTATCGTGGCTTATTAATATTAATAAGTTTTTAATAATAAAGAATAATCGTCTTAAAACGCCATTAAAGAGGTTTATTTATTTTTGTGACTGCTGTATCTGATTTGACCGGTTTTCCGTCCCTTAGCGTGGCTGGCTCAGAAATTCTGGGAATTGAAGTCCACGAGTCACAAAAGAGCCAAGGTTGCCTACCCCTGCCTTAGCTATAGGATGGAGGCCATTAAAAAGGCCTATGATGGACTCCAAGCTAAAGCTACGGGACGGGAAACTGTGCCCTCCTGTGGTCAAAAATGGGTATTGCGGCCACCAAAAGAAATAAACCTTTTTAATGGCATTTTAAGATTACGGTATTCTCTATCTTTATTAACCGTATTAACACCTTATTAATAGGGCCAGGGGAGGCCCGTTGGCTGCAACGCAGGCGCAGGAAGAAGAAATCTGCTTCAAAAGCCTTAAACCTAGTTAAGAAAGCCTAGGATGGCCTAATATTAATAAGGTTTTATGGAGAAAGAAAAATAACCTTAACGTGCCATTGAAAAGGTGGATTTCTTTGGGTGGCTGCTATTTTCCGGCCCCCGGAATGGACGAGGGGGGAGGAATCCTGCTTCAAAAGTCTTAAACCGAGTTAATGAGAGTTTCCGTAGATGCGGAATAATCTTAATATCGCATTAAAAGGTTTAATTTCCCTTTCTGCCTACTGTTCCTTCTTTGACGGCAGGACTCGGACTCTCACGCTCTGGGACCGCTTATCGAAACAGGTGGCCTCCCCTCCTGTATTGCCAGCGAAGGAGGACGTGTTGGGTTGCTTGGAGAAGAGCTGGGACGGAAAGCTTGCCATAAAAACAACATCCAGCATTCTTTCACAAATCGATCGCGACCATATATTAAGTCCGTAACCTGGAATGGGCAAACTGCTCTGGAATACTCTGAAAAGCTTTTCCACCGCATTGTGGCTGTTGAAGCTCTTGTGGAAATTGTGTGGATGTCTTGTCTGCCTGTTAGAATCTCTTCGGTTCCCCAAGTTTTGTATCGGGCTGTAATTATAATTTCCTATTGGCTAAATTTTAAGGCCCCTTGCCCTGGCCTTGCCCTGACCCTGACCTAAAGATGAGACACCTGGGCTGTAGATGCTGTGGTCTCTTACGAGCAGGGATATACATAGGGTTTATTGAACTTACTTTGGGTTTACGTTAAGATTTGTTAAAATTACAGTTTCCTTCCCTAGAGGCAACTGCCAAAATCCAGCCATTTTGTTTAGCATTTCTTATCCGAGCCCGCAGATCCCGTTATCTCCTTTTCGGATTCATTCCTGCACTCAATAGGCAGCAAAACCGGTTGGGGCAAACATATGCAGACTGAAGGCAGGCCTTCAGCAGGAGCAGCTCAGGGCTGCAAAGCCAATTGGATTTCCTCTTCCACTTTTCCCCATAAGATTGCACGCACAACTCCTGGCCCTTTGTGTGTAGCTGGTTTGTTTCCCTGCATCAGGGTGCGCTGTGCGATGGAAAGCGGCTTTGGGGGTCTCTGCGCTGCATGCGCCCTCCTGTTGCCCCAACTGAGGGCTAGTTGGAGGTTGGCCGATGCTCAAGGGGTGGTGGTGGTTTGCGTCATCAGGACTTCTTCCTCGCCAATTTTGCCTCACTGAAATGATACCCCAAACTTAAAAGGTGACCGTGAATTTTGGTAACCGTTATATAACACGGAGGGAGTGCAATATTTATCCGCAATTATTTAATTTACAAAATCAAGAGAGAAGCCACAATATAGACCCCACTAAATACATTCTTTGCTCTAGTCCAGAGGAATCGCACTGCTCCGGTCCTAGCGCCCATGAATTGCCTTCAGCAGCCCCTTGAGAGTCAACCCTACCATGGACTTAGCCCTCCACCAGGACCTGGGGGTGCAGAATCGACAGCGGGGGGACCTATGATACAGCCGCTTCTTTCTCCCCTGAAAAGAGCTGGTCCCGTCTCTCTTCAGATCCTTCCACCAACTCAGCACCCCCATTTCCACAAAGCCCAAAGCCCAACCTCTCACACTGGCTCCACGGATTTATTTCTCCATCTACAGCAGCAGCAGATGACTATACATATAACAATATATTTTTTTCTCAGTAAATACTAAAACTTTACTTCTCATCAGCTTTCACATAGATTTACAGAGAAGGCAGGAGATGAAAGCAGCAAAAAATGGGTTGAGGAAAGAAGAGCAAAGCAAAGCAGAGCAGAGCAAAAGAACCCACCTGCTAGGAGACAGAAAGGCACTGCATCCCAGGAAGCAGGAGGGCCTGGCCTCCAGGGCGCAGGCGAGAAGGCCGGCCCAGCAGCAGCAAGGGTGGCAGCTTGCATGAACAGAAGAACAGGGTTCACACATTGAGCCAAGTGAGAATTCGTGGTTTACTGAATCTGCTGCACCGGCCTGGTGTACGCCTCATGCTAAGCCAAGACCGAATGCGGGGGCTTCCATGATCTAGGAAGCCCCTGAAGTCTTCCATGGATTGTCTGTTGAAGGCCGGTTGAATGAACCTTCCCAAGGCCAACCAAGTTGGCGAGGACAGAACCGATCGGGCAGTAGCTCTTTTCCTTCCTCTCTAGGTCGTGTGGGTGGAGAAACTCCTCTTCTACTCCTGTCCGTTAAGAGAAGTGAATTATGAGATCATTTCTTTTAAAAGGTTTTACTTAAGTGGATTTGAAAGGCAAACTGAGACACCAGAGCCTCAGACTGAGATTGCAGGTGAAAAAAATCCCCTTGGGGAGGATACAGAGTGGCTTAAAAGCTTACAAGGTTTTTTTGTTTGTTTGTTTGTTAGTTTTTAGAAAAACGTCTTTCCTCTTTCTTCCTTCTGGCAGAGGATGGGCTTCCCTCTCTGCGACTACACAGCAGCCCTCTGGCTAAATGTTCCCCGACTGCTTTTCAGTCAATACGTGTCTCTGGATATTCTGCCACTAACCAGCATAGACAAAATCCGGCAGAGCGTAATAACATTGTAGCAGTATTTTAAAAGGCAAATGTTTGTTTTTAAAGAAAGTATCGGCAGGGATCTGGAAAATTTGTTACCACAAATTTCAGCAGCCAAATTTCTTTACAAGACACAAATTTTGAAGCGAGCTCTTCCAAAAGCTGTAAAAGAAAAAAACCGCCCAGCTTCCCGCCTTCGGCCACCCAGTGCTTTCCATCATGTCTCCTGCTTCCCTCCTGCTCGCCAGGCCAGGGAGCCCCTTCACACCTGCCCTTCTTTCAGCCACCGCAGAAGCTGAGGCGCGTAGTAGGTGATGACGACATCGGCTCCTGCAAGAGAAGCATTTCCAAAATGAACCAGCACAAACACGTCTGTGGTTCAAAGCCTTTTTCATAGAAGAAGCCGGTTCGCGGCTGATTCGGCCTGGGCAGGAAACCGGCCCATTTGCTCCTCCAGGGAAGGACCATCCTCCACAGCCAAGGCAGCCTGTTGGTGTTATTCTCCCAGGAATCCAACTGGTCCTTCGGCCTTCTTGGCACCCGCAGCGTCCTCCCCTCCCCCCCCCAATGCTGGGCACTGGCTTTGGGCTCCACTTTGCAGAGGGACAGCGTTGGCAGAGGCAGCCCTGATTGCTCCTCCTCCCTCGCTCACCTGCTCGCCTGAACCCGGCCATGGCCTCCATCACTGCTGCCTTCAGGTCAAAGGCTCCGGCCTGTGCCCCATGCCACAGCATGGCGAACTCTCCCGAGACATGGTAGACAGCCAGGGGGTGGCTGGGGTGCTGGGGAAACACACACGTTTCTCAGCAGGGGGAGGGGGGCCAGGCACCCACTACTGCCCGCTCCCAGGGCAGGGGAAAGGGGGAGCTTACTTTTTCCTTCACTTCCCGCACAAGGTCAAGGTAGGGCATCCCAGGCTTTACCATCAGCATGTCTGCCCCCTCCTGCACATCCCGGTCCTGGAGAGGGAGAAATACAGCAGAGGGAGGTCACGCGGGGAGGAAGTGTAGCAGAGCCACTTCACGGGACAGACAGGAGCCAAATCCGAGGCCTTGCTCAATGGGCAGTCAAGCGGACAGGGGGAACGGCATCGTTCACATTCCTGAACTTCCACAGTCCTGACCTGGCTCTGCTAAAACACACATAAACACACACACACAGAGAGCTTGTTTTCTAGGCCAAAGCCTGCAAGTGCCCAGCCTTGCCTTTTTTGCCCTCTCCTCTTGGCAACACACAGCAATACACATTCTCTTGTCTGTGGTCGTGGGGGCCTTGTCTGTTCCCCAACAGCAAAAGCCCTTTAAAGTCCTTTAAAGCGCTTTCTCAGATAGGGCAAAAGGTGAGTCATCTCACATGCTGACTTCTCTGATCTGCAAACAAACTTTCACCTGATCCCTTGCGGAAAATAGCCTGCCTTGCCTAAGGCCCCAGTGGCAGCTCGCCAGCGGGACCAACCAGCCAGCCTCCCTCCCCTTCCTGGGCCAGGGAGGCCACGAGCATGGGCAGGAAAAGACAGCCGTCTCTGCCGCAACAGACATTCCCCTGCAGACTCCGGCTCCCCCTGGATTCTTTCTTTTGCCTTCTCAAAATAGGGCACCCCAGAGATAAATTGAAAATGGCTTGAAAATTGCAATTTACAAGGGCAGTTAAACTAAAAGCGATCGCATAAAACAAAACAACTCCGGGGCAGAGAACGTGTTAGAAAATAACAGAAGCTGCCAGGCTAAAGCTCAAGGTCTGGCTAAGAGGCGGGAGGGTATCGCTGCCCTTGGCACAGCCGGCAAGGTAGCAAGAAGCCGGTCTAACTGGGCCAGCCCCAGCAGCAACTCCTCAGGGAGCTTCTGCCTTTCTTTGCACGAGTCCCCAGGCCTCCAAAATACGTGCCCCCCCTGCCCCCTGCTAAGCATGGCCTGGAAGGGAAAGCCCTTGGTGAACTGTCCGCAGCCCCCTCGGGGCCCGTTTGCTCTGAAAAGCCCAGCTAGCCACTCACCGCTGCCCGCAGAGCCAACCCTCGAGATCCTGGAGGAAGCTGGTAGCACCGCCGGTCCCCAAAGGCGGGCTTGGATAAGGCCGCGTCTCTACGTGAACCAGAAGAAACAGAGTGACCTCCTTTCGCTCCCCAGACACCAAAGGGGCCCCATCAAGGCCTCTGATGGCTGCTTGGCTGCCTGAGCCTTCGGTCACGGGGATCCCCCTTCCCGACCACAGACAGCCCCGGCCACCCTCACCTGAAAGGGCCATAGAAGCAGGAAGCAAATTTGGCACTGTAGCTCAGGACCGACACCTGCAGGGACAGCACAGCCAACATGCACATTTCCCCGGATCCTCAGCACCCTCCCCCCAGGTGCCCTTCAGCGCACACACACACACACACACACACACACCGTGTTGCTGTTCAGAACCTGGAAGGCTGGACTCGCAGAGCTTCTGAAGGCAGCTCTGCGCTTGGACTCGGGACTGGATCCATGTGTTTCAGCAACCTATGAAGGAGGCTCCTGGCCACACTTGTTCAGAGCCTGCTGGCCCCTCACACCTACCTTATTGCCCAGGTCATTGGCAACCAAGGCTTCCTTGATTGCATGGATGCGCCCGTCCATCATGTCCGAGGGGGCCACGATGTGGCAGCCTGAGGGAGGGTGACAGGAGGTGTGAACTGGCAATGGTGGCAGCTTCTCTGACTGGGGTTCCTCAAGGGAGAACATGGCTGAGTGTGTCCCGGGGCGAGGGCCTGAGTATTGGCGGAGGTCCAGCCCCACTTCAGCTAAGCAGCCACCAGCCTACTCCCAGCAGCTGCACCAGAAATGCCCTGCAACCCAGAGAGCGAGCGCCTCACCTGCCTTGGCGTAGGCCAGGGCCACCTCAGCGAGTCTCCGGCAGCTGGCCTCATTCTGAAGGGTGCCGTCCTGCCGAAGGAGACCTGCAAGGCAAGGAAAGCGCCACTATCCCCCCTGCCTTCGCAGGTCCTCTGTGCCATTGGCCCAAGATCAAAAGGGAGAAGACGGCACAGGAGCTTATTGCGTACGCCAGCTATTAAGCCATCTGGACATCTGAAAATCAAGCCTCTCGTCCTTTCCAAGCCCAGCAGCACTCACCGCAGTGCCCATGCGAGGTATAAGGGCACAAGCAGACATCACACGCAATCAGCAGCTCGGGGAACAAAGAGCGGATCATCTGTATGGCCTGGATGACAGGCGTGTCTTTGGCATCGGCTGCAGAGCCGCGCTCATCCTGTGCAGCAGAGAGGGAGAAGCAGCTGCCCACCTGCCTGCCTAGAAGCAAGACCCTCCGCCCAGGAGCCCTGGCTCAACCGCAGCTCCGAAGCACACCTTCATGGCCCCGCTTGGGACGCCGAAGATCAGCACGCACGTCAGCCCGTCAGCCACCAGGGGGCCGAGCAGCTCTTCCAGCTTGTTGACCCCGTGCCTGGGGGGAGAGAGTCAGTTTTGAGTTCAGCAGGGTTAGGGTTAGGAAAGGGAGGCAGACCCCAAAGAGCCAAATGGGTCAAGCCAAGGGGTTTGAACCCAGAGATTGTGTAGAACATGCTGGTGTCCGTGAAGATTTTTTTTTGGGGGGGGGAGGCATGGCAGACTCGGCTGGCCAATTCCAGCTCTCCTCATAGGATTCCCCAAAATTAAAAGAAAAGAGATACGATCTCTAGCACTATAGAACATGATCTACCCAACTTTGGTTCCCTACAGATTTCAACCCTAATTTAAAATTTAAATTAAAAGAGAAATTTTGCTTTTCACATGGGTCCCCAAAGAAGCAGCCAGCATGGCCTCAGCCTTAATCTTCAGTAACAATGGGGTTCAAAGCAGCAGGGAAGAGGGTGGGTGACTTCTCTGAGCTCAGGCACATGCACACAAGTGTTTCTTGCACAAGCAGGCTAAGGGAGTAACAGGCACACCCTGCCATCTCCCCAAGGGCTGGGCTGGGGTTTCCACACACTGTTATCTCCAGAGGGTGAGTTTTTCTCAAGGGAAAGAAGAGCCTCTCCAAAGCCTTTTATCGCCCAGCCCAGCCCAGCCCACCCCCATCTCGGGTCCAGGCAAAAGGGCGTGCATGTGCACGCACACACACACACATTCCAGCCTAGAGCTGCTTTAAAATGTGCTTTTGCAAGGTCTCTTTTTTCTCCCCCCCCCCCAAAAAAAAACCCAGCAGCTTTAAGGGGTGATTCTGAGGGAGGAAATATCAAGGAAGGAGATCAGGAAAATACGCCTCCTCCCCTCCTTTACTGCCTCCCACAGACCCCAAATCCCAGGACTGCCTTCTGCCTCCCATTCCCCTTTCTCGACAGGCCTCTCCCAGGACCCTCTCCCACTAGCTCCACTCCTCCGAAGAACTCTCAGTCACCCGAAAGTGGGCCAGTCGCTCCTATGAGGCAGCGAGGGAGGGAGGGCTCGGCAGCAGGCAGGGCAGGCCAATACTCAAGCGGGGCAGCCTCTTCAAGAACGAGCAAGGGCCGATTTTGGGGCCAGGAGCCCCGGTGAGGGCCGTCCGGATAGGAACCCCCCTCCGACTTACCGAGCTTGCCCGGGCAGGCTGGCGATCGGCTCCACGGCATCCTGGCTATCCCTGAAAGGGTCGAGTAAGGGGGGCGCCGTCAGAGGGAAGGCCTCCGTGGCCCCAGGGACCCCGTCTGGCTCGGCGCCTCCAGGAACGAGCGGCCCTCGGAAGCTCCCGGGGAGGCTGAAGGCGTCGCAACGGGAGGTCGCAGCTGCAGCCGCCTCCCGCCCCGCCCGCTCCCCCCCCCGCCTGCCGGAGCCGCCGCGGCACTTACGAGACGAAGATCGGGTAGACCAGATGCCGGGCGTGGAGGGCGGCGGCCGTCGCCTGCCACGAGCGAAGCACCGGGTGGAAGTAGCCGCCGTGCAGGGGCGGCTGAGCCTGCATCGCGCCGCTTCCCGAGCGCGAGCCTCTCACCGTCGCGGGACGCTGGGCCCGCAGCGAGCTCCGCTTCCGAGCAGGCAGGCAGGCAGGCAGGCAGGCTCTCCGGGCGGGCGGGCGGAGCGGCGGCTTCCTCCTCCTCCTCCTCCTCCCCGAAGCCCCGCCCCGCTTAAAGGCCCAACGCGGCGCTTGTCCAACCCCCTCGGCCGCCAGCCTCCAAAGCGCCGCCATCGCGCAGCCCCCGCCCCCCCGCCGCCAAAGCGGCCGCGGTTCGCACGCAAGTTCGCTCACAGGATCGAGCCGAGCCGGTCCTGGGCAGGCAAGCTCCCTCCCTGGCCCGAGGCTCCCGCTGGCCCGCAGCGCGCCCGCCCGCTCGCTTAGGCAGGACGAGCTCTTTTCTGGCCGGCCGCTGCTTCGGGGAAACGTCAGTCACGGCTCAATTGTGGTACACTGGGGCGCCACGTCTCCTCCTTCCAGGCCGTAGATACGCGCAGCTAAGAACGCCCTCGCTCGGCTCTTACAGCCCAGGCCGCGTGTTTGTCTGGCGGCTGAACGCACCGGCAAGGAAAGCCCCTCGGCTCCCGGTTCAGGTTTTTGAAACGCCGCTTCGAGCTTTGAGGCTCCGTTTGGACGCAGCTAATCTCCCCCCAGCCTCACCCGCAAACGCCGCGATCCAGAAGCCCTTTCCCCGCTGCTCTGCCTTCGGGGCTCTCTACCGTGTTGCCCCCTCCCCACCCATGCCCGGTCAGCCTTTTGTTACAGAAGACGCAACACTGCACAAGTTTCCTTTTTGTTTATTAACACACAGCAAGCGTGACAGTAGATAACTTTTCGTTTTTTTAAATACAGTACATGGGTCAGCACATCGCCCTCACACAATCCCCCCCCCTCACGAAGACAAGCCAAGTGGTGGCGTTTTATAAAAATAGTGTGTCGCTACAAAAGTATAAATTAATGCTACCGGTATTAAGAAATATTAAACACAGTAAAACTTATGAGGATTAAGAAAAATATTCATTAATACCTGTAGAAAACTCTGGCCTAAAAATATTTTTTGTATATACTTTTTAAATTTTTCTGTTATCTCTTCTTTAAGATGACATTTAGATTTATGCAACTGTCCAAGGTAGCAAAGATGCCGTCTCGGAAGCGCCTCGTATTGCCAGGAACACCAAGCTACCCAACACAGGCGCTCCACCACCCCGATTCCCAAGTGGGGAGGGGTCCGACAGGCTGCCTGCCTGCTGCTGGCTTTGGCTCCTGCTGACGTTCGCAGCAGCTTTAACCAACACACCATGGAAATGATCAACGGGTCGACTCTAACCAAGTGGCCAAAGACCAACCCCCTCCCTGTGACAACAGTTGGCAGTTGGCATTCAGAGGAAGCTCTCAATAAACACCAAAGAGGTAGAAAATGTGGAGAGGGGTCATCTGTCCAAGCTGGCATCAGACCCACCTGCCGCTGGGCCAGAAGGAGGCCTTCCCTAATTCCTTGGAACCTGTGCCCACAAGAAGAACCGCTTCGAGCCCTTTCCTGCAGCCGAAGGAAGTTCTTCACCCTTTGACCCTGCCACTGGCCCTGTGGCCCACCGAGGTTCTCCCTCTCCCCGTGCTAAAGACGGTGGGTGATTGCTGAGTAAGCGCTCTTCAGCTTCTTGATTGCTCCGGTAGGAGGGATCGCTCAGCAAACACATTTCCATCTTAGGAAATGCACGTTCTTTAAAAACTCATCACCCTGGAAATTGTCTGCCTGAGGGCGAGAGGAAGGGGGAGACGACTTCTCAGGGATCACCTGCCACGAGGCCACCTCCCCTAAGTCCTTCACGGTGACACAGACGCTCCTATTTTGAGAGGCAGAGATGGGCACCCTCCGTTCAGGCAGACTCCCTCTTGGCAGCGGAGGGTGGCCCACAGGAGCCTAAGCCACAGCATGAGAGACGTAGATGTGGCCCACCAGCCCTGCACACAGCCCACTTTGGTGGCTGCGTGCGAGCCCAGAGCAGACGGAGCGCAAGTGGGTAATGCCCACTTCTCTGGACATTCAGCTCCTCCGTTTTGGACCCCAACCAAACCCTGCAACCGTGACTTAGGAGGAGGGCCCCCGCTTCCTCTCCAGTCAGAGAGGCTGGCAATGGGGTTTAAACAACTCCCCACCCCCCATTCCCAAACCAGCTTTGCAAAGGCAACAGCGGAGCTAATTTGTTACAACCTTAGAGTCTCCCACACCATTGCTCCGGACTCTGGCTTTATCCCAGCTTCTTCCTCCATATGCACAAGGATTGTCCGGATATTCTCCTACCCTGACATTCCTGTTGTTTGTGAAGTTCTTGCATCCCCACCGTTGCTGTTCTAGCACAAATGCCTAATTAGTTTAAGAGCTGTACTTAGGGGCTTCCACGTACATCTGACTGCTCCCCGCCCCACAGGTTCTCTTCTCTCCCACTGTATCCCTGGAGTCCCAGAATCCATTACAGAGGAGGCCATGCCTGTCCACCCCTAAGCATGGTGGTACCTGTGAGCAACTGTCCTGCATTTCATTCTCTCGCATGTGGATGTTTGAAAAATTAAAAACAATGTAAGAATTCTGGAATTATAAAATAATTCCAAAGATTCAGAATGGAATCCTCCTATCTTCATATTTATTGTGTTAGGCCTGCATTTCTTAAATATGAAAATTTGTAATAACCAGATCCACGAGAACACCTAAGGCAGATTTAAAAGAATGAGCAATTGTTCTTGGAGATTAAATTTCAAAATTACCTGCTTAAATGTAATAGTATTTGAGGGGTTAACGTATGCTCACAGGAACCCCCGTGTCCAGGGGAGGAAGGGAAGGAATATGAAGAGACCAGCAGGAGAAACATGTCTGCGTGACAAGCAGTTTAGTAAGACCAGAATTACAATAATCTAAATCTCATCATAGATCACAGTAACCTCCTGGTGGAGACGCCGCCTGGCCTATGCAGAAGTTATAGCTTAGAGGTGCAACGTGGAATGGGACAGCCCCCAAACTGCCCTCAGAGGGAAAACCCACACCATCACCCTTCCCTCGGGGTTGGGGGGGAGGAAATGCAGCAGTGGATCACCCTGGGCTCTAAGGGGGGGGGATCCGCTCCAGTGGCCAGCAGGGCTGGAGTACAGGCAGCCTCACAGTCTAAACCCCTTTCAGGGGTCTCCAACGGCTGGCTGGAAGGAGGAGGAAAGCAGGCCTTAAAGAGAAGAGAAATGGGACGGGTCTCTTCTAAGCCACGCTGGGATGGCTCAGCTGCGGGCGGCCAGGCGGTGGGTGCCCCTCTCCCGCAAGTGGCATCATTCCCTCTGCTGCTGGCGGGACCAAGAGCACCTCCACGGGCAGCAGGCAAGACTAGGAAACCCCTTCCACTCCTCTTGCCAACAATACTTTGAAGAAAAACAGAACCGTGTGACAAGACTGCACCCTGCCTCCACTGGCCACCAACTGACAGATGCTGCGTTTTGGGTCTGCCTAACCAAAATGTCACCACCATCACCGCCCCCAGCTGCAACCCAAGAGAAACCACCAGGCCCCGGAGCAGGTGTGCCAGCAGCCCAGGCAGAATCCCAGCACCTCGACTCTGCGCTTACCTTCTGCCTCCTCGCCAGTAAGAGTGAAGCCAGAAACGCGATGCTCAAAGGACAACTGCCTTGAGTCAACTATTGCTCTGAACGTGGAGACTGGACCAGAATATCAAAAAAAGTTCTTACACAGCAAAGTGTCTCTGGAGGTCAGGAGGTGGACAGGAGGCGTGGTGCAGGCCGCCTGGCAGGGAAGAGATTCTTAGTGATGTTTTATGGTCGGCATCTCGAGGAGACACAAAACGCCTCCCTGTGCCTCTTCCCAAGCCAACAGACAAAAACCCGAATGGCCACCGAGTTTAGACAGAGCAGCTAGCAAGGACTTTAACAGGAGGGCTATGTATTCTTTTCTGCAAAATATTCTTTCAGGTTTTAATTCCCCCCCCCTTTTTTTTTCCCTTAAGAGAAGTCAAGTTACTGGTATTAAAATCAGGTAGCTTTTTTCTCCTGGATTTTTTTTCTTTTTAATTCTTCAAGTCTCCATTCCTGACTTGGAGGTTTCTGAAAGACAGCTGCCTGCAAACATGACATGATTTATGTTGCCAAGAGGAAACCTTGAACGCCCCTCATAGGAGGACCCATCCAGTGTGGCCAAAAACTAGCAGAAATCAAGGCTGACCGTCCGTCCCTGGCATCAGGGCTCAGAAGAGGGGAAGGAAAACAGAAGGGGGGGTTGGGGGGGAGGGAGGGGTTATTTCTGAAAAGAGTATTAATGAAACAACCATTCAAGTTAATTTAGAAACTCAGCTGCCTAAAGACTCCAGACTAACCGGTCTGCCCTCTTGAACACACGAGGAGGTTTTGTCAAGTTCACACAGAGCGTGTTTCTAGCAGAGGTGGGCTTCTCACCCGCATTCCTTTCCACTGAGCTTTTTATATACATATTAATATAGAGGTATCAATATGTGTATCAAAAGCACTTTTTAATTCCCAGGGCGTTCCAAATGAGGTCCACAGTGTTTGCGAGTGGCTGGGACGTGTTCTGGGAGGATGCCGCTCCCTCCCGGACCCCCCCTCCTCGTTTTAAAGCATGTTGGACTTCAAGAACATGAGCTTGTTCATATCCTCAGGACTCAGCAGTCGCCGCCTCTTTATCAGGAGGGCTTGTTCACACATGTTGACGCAGTTGCTTCTGGCCCCCACAGCGGGCACTGCCAGGAGCCAGAAGGCCAGCCTGGCCAGCTTGGTATGCTTCTGCGTCACACAGGACCAGTACTGGAAGAGGTCAGGGGCCGCCTGGAAAAGGGGCTCTTGCAAGTAGTCATAGACCTCGCTTTTGCCCGACCGGTCTTCCTCCCGAGTCGGAGAATTCTCACTCGAGGTCCGAGACTTTTTGGAGGCAGGCTCGAAATCGGGCTCCTCGGCCCAGGATTCCTTCACCTCGTGGATCAGTTCACACACCTTGCCGACGATCTCCTCGTGCTGGTAAGGGGGGACTGGGCGCAGTTTCTGCTGAGGGTCCAGAATCATGGCCACCTTGTGTGCCGAGTGCACCTTGAAGTTCTCCTTCAGGGCTTCCAGGAAAAGATGGCACAGCTTGCTGACAATGCCTGCGTCGTTGGCCTTTGAGGTGAAGAGTTTCTCCAGTTTCACGTAGGTAGGCAGCACCAGCTGCAACGTGGGCCGGCTCTCGTTGCTCAGTTCAATCACGGCATGTTTCACCGGAGCCAGGATGGCTGCTAGGTTGCTCAGCAGGTGCTTGTTGAGGTTCTGGATAAGGTTTAGCTTCTTGGCCCGGCTATAAAACTCGCAGATCTGCTCGTAGCGTTCGTGGACAAGCAGCAGAGAGTCCGTAATGGAGTTCCAGCAGGGGGGAGGAGAGGTCTCCTCCAGGGAGCCAAAGGTCTCTTTGGAGATCCCTGCAGAGCCCGCCAGGTCCTCGCAGACATTCAGCAGCTCAATGACCTCGTGCATGTTGCGTGCTTGGAGGGTGCGCTTGTTAAGCACGCTCTGCACCACGGAGGTCAAGGCACACGCAGAGCAACGCAAACACATGCCCGCCTTGGAAAATGCAGAGGAATTCACCTTGCAGTCTGTGACGTACACGGTCCGGATCTCAGACATAACAAACTCGGAAAGCACGTTTTGCACCCAGTGGTGGACTAAGTCCCCGTTATCGCGAATGTCCACCCCTTTGATCCCCAGGACGTAACTCTTGATGCAGCTGCCTTCTGCCTGGTACGCAGTCAGAATGTAGCAGGAATCGGGGCCAACGCTCTGCGAGTGACAGGTGACGCCAATGCCCAAGCAGGCATTGCTGCCAAGAGCACAGGTGACCTTCACTTTCACCTGGTTGTACATCCGGGGCAAGTGCTTGAGGGCTAGCGTGTTGAAGTTGCCAAGGATCTCCGTAACAGAGAAGGCGCCATAGCGAGCACCGTTGTCAACCAGACTTTGTGCCAGTTTAACAAACTCTTTGCCGCTCACCACACTCAGTGTCCCCAGATCAGCGCACATCACCCTCAGCAGCCTCTCTGCTATGTTCTGTCGCTCCTTCTCGGGGATGGGGCTGTTCAGGAGGGAGCTACCAGCTGTCGCTGCAGACGAGGAAGAAAAAAAGATTTTCAACAGGCAATGAGATTTGAGGAGTGCAAATTAATTACAATTATTCGCTACTAAAAGCTATAGAATTTTTTGTTTAAAGCAGTGACATGCACTTGTGACTAGCAAACATACTTCCCCTGACTCTGGCATGAAAAAGGAAATATTCCATTGGAGAGGATGTAGTTGTTTTTTCAATAAACCCCCACACCTATTACAAATATTCTGCCTTAATTGCAGTTCTTTATTAGGCATTTTTAAATCACCTTCTTCCTCCTTCTAGAACTTTAAGACAACCTTCCCCAGACTGTGTCATTATCCCCCACCACCCCCATCGCAAGACACCAAGAAAGAGTGGCCTGCCTGCAATACCCACCCACAAGGGCACCCACTGGCCAAAGGGGAGCACGACTAGAGAGATACATCTGCTCTCAGCCCTGGCAGCAGCTGAGGCCTTTTGGTCTCGCGTTCTAAACTTCGGAGCCAGGAGCACAGGAGGAAATCCTTTGCATAAAGAGGGGGTCTCGTGCTCCCTTTAGACTTTGAGAGAGAAACGGGGCGCCTGTCTGTGCCCTCCGCTTGCTGTGGCCCCCGTTGGCCTACATAGAGGAGGAGGGACCCTGGGAGCCTTGTCTGGGAGGCCACGAAGAGACCCATCCATGAAAATGACGATTCCTTGGGGTATGGCATGATGCTATTTGGGGGGGGGACCCCAGAAACCAGCTGGCCCATTTCCTCCTGCTCGACTGGTTCTCCCATAGTACACATACTGTTGTTGGAGTTGTTCCTCTGTGGCTGCGGCTTCCATTTCTCTTCCACCAGAGCTGGAGGTGACCTGGGCTGGTTGTTTTCATTGTCAGCTGAGGGGCCAAGAGGCACAGAGGACAGGAAGTGACTACACTGATTCTGTCTCAGGGAGCAGCGAGTCAACAACGCAGGCTTCCCAAGTCACACAATTGCCAACACCTCCCCAAGTCATGAAGCCCAGCAGCAGCCAATGGCCTCTGCTTCCCTGGGCAGCTCCCACAACGCAACGCTGGAAGCTGCCTTTGACCAGGCCGAGGGCAACTACGGCCACGCAGATGCACCTCTGCCCATACTCCCCTAAAAGGGGGAGATCCGGGGTGGGCCCCAGGGAAGAAAAGTGGGTCTTGGCAAAGATCTATAACACAGGAGAGCACCACCATGGGCCACGTATTCCAGCATAGACAAGACTTATAATTTTTGCTGCCTTTCCTTGAAATTTGAGTTGTCCATAGTGGCAACGCACACTAAACTGCACTTGAACCACATAGTGTAATGCTGGTGAAAATTGCACACTTATCCTGAGAGATCAGATGCATTGAAGGGAGAGGCCGAAATCCTTACACCACACCCTGCACAATCGAATACAGATTGCAGTTTTACTTCAGAGCCACACAGAAACAGAGTGGATAAACCACTCTTGATGGTCCAAATTCACTTGCTTTGGAAGTAGCCTTGCTGAACTTCCCAGGGCCCCAGTTTGCTCATCATTGTTCCCCATCATGATCTTTTGGTTCCCCAAGCAAGCCTTGGGCTTCACTCTACGATTTCCCCCCCCCCCAAAGATGTAGGTAGACTGGCTTGTCTTGTGCTTTCCCACTCAGAGTTTACTATGCTTGCTTGAAGTCAAAAGGAGGGGGCAACTAAAAGTTTCAATTTCCACCCCACATTCCAATATGCTGCTAATGGTGGCATCCTGACATTTCCAAGGCTTGCCCTGCGCTTTGACATGGCATTTATCCCAACAGGAGCTTCTCTGCCAATTAGCAACCGTTCAGTCCTAAGCTTCCCTCCCACCATCCTGCTGTATTGATTGCACGTTTCCTAAAACAGTCAGGTTCATCTCTTTTTATCAAATCTCAACTATGTCCCTCCATCAAAAGTTGGGAGCTTCTGACAGGTTATTAAAGGCTTCTAATCTTGGTCTTCATCTGTTTGTTGGCAACATTCACTGCTGGACAAGAGGACAAGTGCTAAGTTGTCCTCTTGTCCATTGTGGAAAGGGGAAACACAGGTTTTCAGAGGAGAGAGAGCAACATTGGCACAGACCATTCCACCAAACTGCAGATTTCCTGTGGGCCTGGCGCTCTTCCTTAGAGGCGTTTGGAGCAATCAAGAGGCTTACCTGCGTGAGACTGCATGTGCTCAAGGAGATTGTTGTAGAACTGGAACTGAATGCCACAGGCACCACAGGTGTATGGCTCTGAAAGGAGGAGGCCAAGAAGGAGCGTTAAGAGGACCGGGCGCTGGTCAACTGAACAGCAACAGACTATATTCAAGATAACAGAGGTGCAAATCAGGGTCAAAATTAACACTAGTTAATTAAGGATCCTCCAGGTGTTAATGATATAAGTCCCACAGCCTAGCTGGCCACTGCCCAGCATGACCAGGAGAGTCAGCATCTAAAACATGTGGACGATGCCCACTCAGTACAGAGAGGAGCCCCATGCAGGAGGGAGAGAGAGGAGGAGAGGGAGACCATCCTTAACTACTAACAGAGTAAGGGGGAAAG